AGTAAATCTTCTATTTTTTGTTTGAATAAAAATTCAAAATAGAAAGCAAGAGGAATATCAGAGGGGCCTGGAAACGTGACTGATGAACAAAGAAAATGTTATTTTAGAGCCAGGAACGTTTGCATTGTTCATTCTGGACCCTATTTTGAAATTGTCATATTTTTTAATTTTCGTGAATTTGGCCAAATTGCAAATTTCTGACCACGTTATTGGGTAGTTGAAATTGGTAAATGGGCAGTTTCTTGTACTCAATCGATAGAAAAAATGGGGTTCTAAAGAAATAGCTATGAGTTTGGTCGACTGGTACAATGGAATTAGCCGATAATAGGGCTCAAAGTAGGCGAAATCGTTGATTCATAAATATCGGTGAGGTCGCTTGCTTTGCGAGAGCGTAATTCCGTCAGTTTTCCATCAAATTTCGTTCTTTTGGTGTCATTACAATTGGGAAAAGATTCTTTATCATTTCAAAAGAATTTAAAAAAAAAAAAAAAATTGCGACACCAGTAGACACCTCAGGATTTGGGGTTGCGACAGTCAAGGGGTTAACACATTGACTGTTTCCCACCAAGGTAGGGTGGCCTGACAATGAAAAACTTTCATCATCATTCACTCCATCACTGTCTTACCAGAGGCATGTTTACACTACAGTTATAAAACTGCAACATTAACACCCCTCCTTCAGAGTGCTGGCACTGTACTTCCCATCTCCAGGAATAAAGTACGGCCTACCGGTTTCCCTGAATCCCTTCATAAATGTTACGTTGCTTACACTCCAACAGCACGTCAAGTCCTAAAAACCACTTGTCTTCATTCGCTCCTATCTAACATGCTCATGCACTCTTTCTGGAAGTTCAAGCCCCTCACACACAAAATCTCCTTTACCCCCTTCAACCTTTCCTAGACCGACCCCCTGCCCTCCATTACAGATTTATACATTCTCGAAGATATTCTATTTCGTTCCATCCTCTCAGCATGTCCAAACCATCTCAATAACCCCTCCTTAGCTCTCTGGATAATAGTTTTGGTAATTCCACACCTCCTAATCTCCAAACTATGGATACTCTGCATTATATTCTCACTACACATTGCCCTCAGACATAACATCTCCACTGCCTCCAGCCTTCTCCTTGTTGCAACATTCACAACATATGCTGGACACCCATACAAGAACATTGGTATAACTATACTCTCATACATTCCCCTCTTTGCTTTTATGGATAAAGTTTTGTCTCCACAGACTCCTCAGTGCACCAGTCACCTTTTTCCCTTCATCAGTTCTGTGATTAACTTCATCCTTCATAGACCCATCTGCTGACATGTCCACTCCCAAATATCTGAGCACATTTACCTCTTCCATACTGTCTCCATCCCATCTGATATCCAATCTTCTGTTACCTAATTTTTTTGTTATCCTCATCACCTTACTCTTTACTATATTCACTTCTAATTTCCTTCTTTTACATACCCTACCAAACTCATCAACCAACATCTGCAACTTCTCTTCAGAATCTCCCAAAAGCACAGTGTCATCAACAAAGAGGAACTGTGACAACTCCTACTTTCTGTTAGATTCTTTATCTTTTAACCCCACACCACTTGCCAACACCCAAGCATTCTCTTCCCTTACAACTCCATGTATAAATGTATTGAACAACCATGGTGACATCACATATCCCTGTCTAAGACCTACTTTTACTGGGAAATAATCTCCCTCTCACCTACATACTCGAACCTGAGCCTCACTATCCTTGTAAAAACTTTTCACCGCTTAAAATAGCCTACCTCCTATTCCATATATTTGCTATGTCTGCCACATTGCTTCCCTAGCCACCCTATCATATGCCTTTTCCAAATCCATACCCTTATCAAAATACTGTTCACCTATATATTTCACTGCAAACATTTGGTCTACACACCCTCTACCTTTCCTAAAGCCTCCTTGTTTATCTGCTATCCTGCTATGTCTCATTTTTGTGGTTCACAAGATTGTGATGTCCATGTATTTGTGGAAAGAGACTGTAAGTTAGTGGTGATAAATGTTTTTTTTTTTTATTTTTTTTGGACACCTTGCTTTGTTGGGAGATGGCCAGCATTTAAAAAAAAAAAAAATTGAACCTCAATATACAACAGCCATATTTGTTGACTAAGTCAGAAAAAAGATGCATCACAGGTCAGCTGTAAGTTGTAAGTGTACTACTTTGAGAGACTTGCACAGCCTAGTGTAGTGGTATTTAAAAAAAGACGACATAGTAAATCAGTGTCATTTCATTAGTACATAATATAATAGACATTGGATATGATAATGTTTCATTGCAAGAGATTAAATTTTAGAATCCCAGAAAAAGTTCCAACTTTCATACCACTGTAATGGTAAGACTGCATTTTGAATATATTTTGAAGTCTGTTTCCCTAACAACATAAAATATATAATTTAAAGTGTGTAGAGAAGAGTAATTCAACTTAAGTCATGGCAGAAATAAGCCTTACAAACAAAGACTGAATGACAAACTGTTTTCTCATAGGAAATATAGAGTACAAGTAGACCTAATTCAAACTACACAAAAAACAGTACTCAGACACAAAGAATTATTGAAGGTTCAAGGTGAAAAAAAATAACAGTGAAACCTGAGAAAAGTCAGGTCACTGTTTGACTCCTCAAGGAAGGTTCTTGATACCAATGAGGGGCTCATGATCCAAGGAATTGGATATGTTCTTCCCTTACTTAAATTGAACCTGATTACCTCCTATTTCCCAGGCATTATGTTACCCTTAGGGTTTTACTATTCTTCCTTTCCTCTTCCCCACAATACAGTATAATAATAATTAAGTGTTTTGCAGGACTTCGTGGTTTTTAACCCTTTCAGGGTTTCGGCCGTACTAGTACGGCTTACGAGCCAGAGTTTTTGACATACTAGTACGCCTAAATTCTAGCGCCCTCAAATCTAGTGAGAAAAAGCTGGTAGGCCTACATATGAAAGAATGGGTCTATGTGGTCAGTGTGCGTGGTATAAAAAAAATCCTGCAGCACACAGTGCGTAATGAGAAAAAAAAAAACTTTGACCATGTTTTTGGATTAAAGCAGGGACTTTGCACTGTATTTTCGTATGGTATTTATTGTTGTATACTAGTTTTCCTGGTCTCATTTTATAGAATGGAAGACATAGTACAGAAATTGAGATGATTTTGACTGGTTTTACAAAGAAAAGTACCTTGAAATTGAGCTCAAAGTAGCAGAAATGTTCGATTTTTACCAAAGTTCAAAAGTAAACAAATCATGCTATGCATCAAATACACGTCAACTGGTGAGTCTAATATTCTTTCACAAGTGCGCTGATATTATTTATACCATTTCTACACCAATGCAGTAGTCTGCATAACAGTAAATCTTCTATTTTTTTGTGAGAATAAAAATTCAAAGTGGAAAGCAAAAGAACGTAAGAGGGGCATGGGGACGTGACTAATGAACAGAGGAAATGTTATTTTAGTGCCAGGAATGTCTTTCTTGTTTATTCTGGACCCTATTCGGAAGTTGGCGTCTTTTGAAATTTGTGTGAAATTGGCAAAATTGCTAAATTTTGACCACTGTATTGGATAGTTGAAATTGGTAAATGGGTGGTTTCTTGTACTCATTCGATAGAAAAAATGCAGTTCTAGCGAAATAGTTATGATTTTTATCGACAAGTATAGTGGAATTGGCCGAAAGTAGGGCTCAAAGTGGGCAAAATCGCCGATGCGTAAACATTGTCGAGACCGCTAACTTCGCGAGAGCATAATTCCGTAAGTTTTCCATCAAATTTCATACTTTTGGTGTCATTATGATCGGGAAAAGATTCTCCATCTTTTCATGAGAAAAAATCATTTTTTTTTTTTTAAATTTGGGCGACCCTGAGAACAAGTCTCTGAGAGGGTCTGTCGACCCTGAAAGGGTTAAGTAAAAAGCACTGGAAAACTCTAAAATTATAAGCATTTATACAGTATAATGTAGACCTTAAAGAAATGGATAATGAGGTATTTGAAGGTTTTCAATTGTGTTTACTAGTACACTTGTGAAATTTATAGCTCTGTCAAGAATCTACCTTGTATGTTTGATTAATATACTGTACATGTATATACACACCTCTGATGCCCAGGACAGTGTTCAGTCTAATTGATCGTCTTTAAAAGCACTGTGACATTTCTCTCCATACCAAGATTGGCTCTTTTATTATTGGTTGATATGCTGTATCCCAGGACAGTCATCTCATATTTGACTGGTTGGTGGTGGTTAGTGACTCAGATATCGGATCAGAATTAATCCTGTACAAGGGATGCAAATGGCATTTGCACCTACCTAGGGAGTACAAGTACATTGAAAATGGGTGCATTGGTCAGCTTATCTGTAGTGAGGGTAATTGTAGCTGCAGATGGTAGTTGCAACAAGATTAGGACTCTTAATCCAAGGAATTTGTTACCCACCTCTTCCTCATATCAAACCTAATTTACTTCTATTCCCCAGGAGCTGTGTGAACCTTATGGGTTTGGTGCAAGGTAACATTTTGTGAAGGGATTTGGGGAAACCAGTTAGCCAGACTTGAGTTCTGGAGGTGGGAAGTAAAGTGCCTTCACTCCTGAAGGAGGGTGGGGATATTTGCAGTTTGGAGGGGCATTTGCACTGTAATATTGGCACTCTTCTGGCAAGACAGTGATAGTGAATAACGGCAAAATTGTTTTTTTCAGGCCACTCTGCCTCCGTGGGATGTGACCAGTGTGTTAAAAAAAATTCTCACTGGCTATATGAATCAGAGAGAGATGACAACAGGAAGAGCTTTTTTAAGGACTTTGTTGTTATATGTTCATGTACTGTTATTCTTTTTTTTTTTTTTTTCCCAATCCTCCCTTCTTTCCAGTTTGTTAGTTCTTGGATTTGGGCTTGAGTATTACTTCGTGGTTTCTTTTGTGTGATGTCATGTTGTATCTAGATTTTTCCAGTTTTACATAATTTTTTTTATTTTTATCAACAGATGGTATTACGGAAGGATAACACGTGCAGATGCAGAAAAACTTTTACTCAATAAACATGAAGGAGCCTTTCTCATTCGGGTCAGTGAGAGTTCTCCTGGTGATTTTTCGCTATCAGTCAAGTAAGTTTTTTTTTTTTTTTTTTTTTTTTGTGTATGTGTGTAGGGAGGAGTGGTATGAGGATGATGAGAGTAAAAGTTTATTAGGGTGTAAACAATCCATCGTTGTTTAGTATAACTTTTGGAACCTTATTGTAATTAAAAGTTTTCCCTTTGCTTTTTATATTTTGTTTTATGCATTGTATTTGTATAGTTTAGTAGCCATTTTTCTCAATATAAGTGGCTACTCATTATCATTTTTACATGAATGATGAGTGTTGATGTGGGTAATTTTTTATCACCATGGGTCTTCATTAGTTGTGCAGTTTACTCTTAAGAAAATAGATGGTAGCTCATTATTCTATCTTAATTCATTATTTGTAGATTTAGCTTTGTTACAGTATCTTAATCTTTACTCTCATCATTAAGTGTTTTTTTTTCTTTTATATGCTTTGATCTCTTGCAGCTCATTTTATCAAATTATCTCACTGTTCTACCAAATCAAACATGTTTGTTATTGCTTAACAATAGTTTAGCCCATCTTTTTGTTGTAAATCTCTCAAACATAGCCTCTGATCATTTTCTTTTGACTTTCGATGTAGCCCTCTGAATTCTTGTATTCTAAACATTATTTATATTTCTTATTCTTTCATGTCTTGTACATGAAGTGACCTTAGTACACCAGGTTCATAAAACATTCGTATAAATTATCAATGTCACAAATGACGAGTCCTTCATTTCTAAAAATCATTCACATTGTTTTTTTTTTGCATTTGAGTTGTAACACATTTTTTTTTTCCTGATTAAGTTTTTATTATGCATGACAGAACTGCAGGTATTTCCTAATCATTGCTTTGGCATTATGAATGATTTTTTTTATTTTAATAACTAACTCATTGTACAGCTTGTAGTTGTTTCCCACCTTGTATATTGCTTTTAACTGTGAACCTAAAAGTCTTCATTTATCTGTCATGCTGTCACTCTATTTGTTACAAAGATTCCATTCAAATAACTGACTTCCTGTTGATCTATACATTTTCTAACTTCGAAAATTTTACACAAGTATTTATAACAAAACTATACAGTGCACTGAGAAATTCATCATGAATGACTGCAACAGTTCTAAAAGAGAAGGGAATTTGAACCTGCAGTATAGTAGTCATGAAATTACCATTAATTTGCTTTTATTTCTTATTGAATTTTTTCATTTTGTTTCATTGAGCTTAGTTTTTTGGTACATTTATTTATTTACTTTGCCATATCAACCTTTATATACGCAAATCATGTCATTTTTCATCTTGTGGAATATTTCATGTTTAATATTAAAACAATTTGTCAGGAGTTACTTTTATATTTTGTTGATATTTAGTTCCTTTTACAGTTCTATTAGGTAACCTTGTATATAGTATTTTATTTTGGTCTAATGAATAGTTTGGGAGTTGCAGTGGTTTGTTACCCAGACTGAAGGGTAAAGGGGTGGGGTTGGGTAGATAAAAAAAAAATAATTGCTTAGATTCTTTATCTCAACACCCATGAATGCAGTAAGGACTAAATTTGCCTAGTAATCATCTGCCCCCATTACAACTTCTTGTAGTGACTTTAACAGTTTAAAAAAAAAAAAAAAAAAAATTCTTCCAGTTCTTAACAGATTTGCAACATATACAATAATGCCTCTCATAGTGAGTGCCTGTGTAGCATGTTTTCAATAGAACATTAATCATATTTATTTTCAAAAATTATTAGTACCCAGTTCTATCCGAGTCTACTCATTGTAAAAGTTTTAAATGTGGCTCAGGCATGAAAACTTTTCTGTTCAGAAATTATGTGGCTTAGGAAAAACCGGTTGCTGACTGGGTCGGTACAGCATGTGCTGTAGTGGCCCTCATAACCTCAACAAACGACTGACCCACAGCCATCGGCTGCTAAAATATACAGACAACTCACAGCTGTCTACTGCTCAGTAGTTAAGTAACCATCTCCAAACACTTCTTTATCAATAAGTAAGAGAACCAGAAAATTAAGGTAGGATGAAATTCTTCCTTGTCACTATTATAAACGAGAAAATTGTATGGTGAAAATGTAAGTGGCGGTGACTAATAAAACATGACCCACAGTTGTTTGCTCATTTAAGCTACAAAACCCATCTCCAAATACTTCAGCATCAACAAGCAAGAGAAATGAAGAATTTAAGGTAAAGTAAGATTCTTTGTTACTTTTTTTTTTTAATGTATATTTTATACTCGCGAGATTGCGCATTACATTTATAATATGTAGTTGCAAGTGATGTATTGGCCGCCTCTGTTTTCTCAGAAAAGAACTGATCATCATTCACTGCTGTTAAATAACATTATTATACATCAGCTTCCTCTGGACTTTATCAATTTTAAGATTTGGGTACATCTTATGTACAGTGGACCCTCGGTTATCAGCCGTAATCTGTTCCAGAAGTTGGCCGATAACCGAAATGGCCGAAAACTGAATTAATGTTTCCCATAAGAATTAATGGGAATATAATTAATTCGTTCCAGACAAAAATATTCACAAAAAAAAATAATTTTTTTAACAGTTATGTAAGTTTTACATACCTTTATCGAAGGCTAATGCTGGCTTCTGGAAGATAGGGAAGAGGAAAGAGGGAGGACTTAGTGTTTGGAAGGGGAATCCCCCTCCATAAAGACTTTAGGTAGCAAAGCCTTCTCTGGGGTTACTTCTCTTCTTTGTCTTTTAACCCCTTGACTGTCGCAACCCCCAATCCTGAGGTGTCTCCTGGTGTCGCAAAATTTCAAAAAAAAAAAAAAAAAAAAAAAAGATTTTTTCTTATGAAATGATAGAGGATCTTTTCCTGATTGTAAAGACACCAAATAAACGAAATTTGATGGAAAACTGACTGAATTACGCTCTCGCGAAGTTAGCGACCTCGGCAATATTTACAAATCGACGATTTTGCCCACTTTGAGCCCTATTTTCGGCTAATTCCATTATTCCAGTCAACCAAACTCATAGCTATTTCTTCAGAACTACATTTTTTCTATCGATTGAGTGCAAGAAACTGCCTATTTACCGATTTCAACTACATGGTCAGAAATTTGCAATTTGGCCAATTTCATGAAAATTAAAAAAATATGACAATTTCAAAATAAGGACCAGAATGAACAATGCAGACATTCCTGGCTCTAAAACAACATTTTCTTTGTTCATCAGTCATGTCTCCAGCCCCCTGTGATATTACTCTTGCTTTTTATTTTGAAATTTTATTCAAACAAAAAATAGAAGATTTACTGTTATGCAAACTACTGCAATACTGTAATAATTGTAAAAATTACATCAACCCATTCATGACTGCATATTAGAATGGCTATTTGGACATTTATTGGACAATGACATCATTTGTTTACTTTTGAACATCGGCAAAAATCAAACATTTCCCGTACTTTGTGCTCCATTTCCAGGTTCTTTTTATAGTAAAATCAGTCATAATCACCTCTATTTCTATAATATACTTTCCATTCTATCAAATGAGACCAAGAAAACGAGAATACAACCATAAATACTATACGAAAATGGACCACAAAGTCGGCATTTTAATTAAAAAAACGGTCGGAGTTTTTTTTTTTCTCATTATGCACTGTGTGCTCCAGGATTTTTTTTATATGGTGCACACTGACCACACAGACCCATTCTCTCACATGTGGGCCTACCAGCTTTCTCCTGCATGATTTGAAGCCGCTAGAATTTGAGTATTCGTCAAACACGGTACCTCGTAAGACGTATATATACGGCCGCGACAGTCAAAGGGTTAATGCTACTAGGACCAGCTTGAGAGTCACTGGACCCTTGCCTCACAACAAATCTGTCCACAGAGGCCTGTTTCTGGCATCTCTCAAAGATTTCCCTGAAGTGGGACAGGGTTTTGTCACTGAACATGTTGCAGATATGGCTTGTTTCAGCTTGGTCAGGGTGTATTTTTCTACAAAAGCTTGCACCCTAGTCCACATAGCACACACCTCTTTAATCTGTCATTTACTGCTACAGTACATTCATTACTAACCTTAAAATGTTTGTAGTCTTAATGTAGGGCAAGAGGTGAGTAGTACTTGTAGGAAGTCAGTGTAGGTAGCAGTAGATGTAGGTACAGTACACATATATAGCCCCCTTCCCCGGGCTATACTACACAGCTGTATTACAATACACAGCCATATTATTACCATGTTGACTGAGTTTAATCGTTTCTAACAACTACCTTTAGATGCCATCATAAACAAAGGGAGAAGCAGTGAATTCATGCCAAGAATGGTAAACGAATGCATATGAATGGCGGTTACTGCACCAATCGCCAGATTCACAGTGTTCTCTAACGCTGCATCAGAGAAAGCGTGATGTTTACTCTCCATCCCACTCTCCACTTGATAACATATAAACATTACATGTTTATATGTTACATGATATGTAACGTGTTTCTTATATAATTTTGAAGAAAATATCATAGATGGATTAATGAAAATGTCTATATTAACGTAAAATAAGACATTTAATGTGCAAAAGAGTGATTATTAAATATACATCACGTATAATAAACATTGCATGTTTATATGCTATGTAACATGTTTCTTACATAATTTTGAAGAATGTATAATGGACGGATTAATGAAAATGTCTATATTAACTCTCAGAGTTTCGGCCGTACTAGTACGGCTTACGCCCCTGGGTTTTTGATGTACTAGTATGCCTAAATTCTAGCGCCCTCAAATCTAGTGAGAGAAAGCTGGTAGGCCTACATATGAAAGAATGGGTCTGTGTGGTCAGTGTGCGCAGTATAAATAAAACCCTGCAGCACACAGTGCATAATGAGAAAAAAAAAACTTTGACCGTGTTTTTGGATTAAAACAGCGAATTTGCACTGTATTTTCGTATGGTATTTATTGTTGTATTCTAGTTTTCCTGGTCTCATTTTATAGAATGGAAGACATATTACAGAAATTGAGATGATTTTGACTGGTTTTACAATGAAAAGTACCTTGAAATTG